TCCAACTTGAAGCGTTGGATGCGATTTTGAAGCTGAAATCGCGTTCGGTGTGAACGCAGCATAAGTAAAAGAGTTTTACTCACTGTTGAATTGTGGTGAGCAAACCCATTCTCACTCCTGACTCGTCAACATATTGATGCTTGGTCAGGTAGCCATCTGCGTCCAGCTTCGGACATGTCGGGTACCCTCCCTCGCGTCAGTTCTTAATGGGATGAGGCGAAGGAGGAGGAGTGTGTTGTCGTATATTTTAAAGAGTAGGAAATGCGCCAAAACTAACCATTCAAGACCCTAAATTTAGCTTCTTTTAGCCATATACAGCCTATCCCTGAACTCAGTACCTAAAATTAACCATTAATCCTGATCCCTCATAATAACCACAGACCCCCCAACCGAAAGACCTCTATGTGGCACAACCCGGAAAAGCYGTGGGCGGCAATGATTGATGTGAGGGGAGTACCCGACGCATCAAAACTGAACACAGATGGTACCTGACCAAGCATCAATATGTTACAAGTTGGGAACGAGAACGTGTTGGGCAAGCTGCTGACTTGAATTCTGAACTCTCCCACTTTCAAACAAGGAATTCCCAACGGAGGGGCATTCCAATTAAATTTATAACTTTTAAGTGGGAACTTCCCACTTTCCAGTATAACTGGGCTCCAGGAAAACTAGTCGATGAAAATGGAGTGAAATGGAGACCAATTCAGCCGGCTGCTAGCTACTTTTGTACCCTGTGGTGCTCCACCTAGAGGTGGGATGCCGTCATTTTGTTGGTAAAATAATCATTATGCATTATGGGAGATGTAGTTCATGGTCAATGCTTGTATAAAAGCTGCATATGCTTATTTTAAGACGTTATTACATCTTTGAAGCTCTCGAGGGCCACATAAAATGCTATGGTGGGCCACACTGGGCTTGCAGACCTTGAGTTCGAAACATGCACTATAAGCCTTATGCTATTTAGGCTTAGACTGCTGATGGACAAACTGCTTCGTCACTCAGTTGTTACTCTATACTCTACATGGTATAAATATATAAATACTTACAAACACAATCAAAAACATGATTTTGATTGAACCAGTCATTTTGTGTCTTTTTCYTGTCCTCTCAAACCCAGCTGGTCAAGGCAGATAAACACTCATCCTGCAGCCTGGTTCTGGAGTTTTCTTCCTGTTAAAAGGGAGTTTTTCCTCTCCACTGTCACCTATGTGCTTGCTCAGGATGGGAGACTGAGATGAAGCGATTCAACGCAATCTGCTGTRTTCTTTGGATTGAAAATTGTTGCTAGTTATTTTTCATAATATGTGAATGTTCTTGTATGTTGCCCTGAGATGATATTCGATGGGACTTGGCGCTAAATAAGCTGAATTGAAAATGACGTCTTTCTAGTCACCCAGGCTACTCAAAGCACTTTACAACACAATCTGTGCCCTCATTTACTGCATCAACACACACTCAGCTACATCTCTGCAACCTGAATAAATCATTCTATAGAGACTAATCAGTGCTTTTAAATCACACTTGACAGAGAACACGTCAGAGGAATGAGGGTCAGGGACATTTTGATGTGACTACATGCTGGTAGATTCAAACCTACAACTCCCTCGCTGGAGGACGATTAGTCTAACCACTGAGGCACAGCCGCCTCATTAGAAAATCCCAAGATTTTATGCAGAAGACATAGATGAGTGTGTACACACAATGTCAAAAAGGAAAAACATCAATGACCTTAAAGAAGTGACAGATGCTGCTTATCAATCTGGAAAGGTATCATTATTTCCAAATAACCTTCCCAATTGACATCCTTACCACAAGGTCAAATCATGCGCATGGGCACCTTACAGTCACTGAATCAACCATAAACTCTTCTGCAAACCAAAGAACTCAGGAGCCAAATTTGAGGCCAGATAACTGAAGTTCGGACCAGACCGGGTCAGGACAACGATCCCAAACCTGACAGAAACTCTTCAACCGAACGTCTAATGAAGGAAACCCTTTAAATGTTGAAACAATCTGAAGTTCAGATTGGGGTGAGAMCTTTTTAGAGCTTTACAGAAACAACTGTCTGCAAATCTCAATAAATCGGGACAATGTTGTAAAGAGATGAGTGGACCAAAAGTGCTCCACAACCACATGAGAAACTAATGAATTAATAAAGAACACCTCTACATGAAGTGTGAATCTATGAGCTTTTGATTAGTTTTTCTGCAGATTTTTTTTTAAATTGTGGCTTCCATTTTTGCTTAATAAACAACAACTTGGTGGATTCTGCTTTGCACACTTGAGGTTAAATTAAAAGGTGTGCTTTGGTTGTTCTAGGACTTCGTGTGTAAACAACAAAAAAGCTCTATTTTAAGCTGTTTTTCTTTTTAATCTAAGGCGTCTGCATAATACCTTGAGAATTTCTGATGACAAATTGCACGATGAGGCTATTATTTGCATATGCATACTTATAAAGAAATGCTTAATAACACATTATACAGTGCATGTATAAATTACCATGCATCAGGGCCAGACTTGCACCCTGTGAAACTGAGACCCTAAAAGAACATTTAAATACAACATTCATCAACTTATACATGATGATCCTTCGCCTTCCTTATATTCCCCTCCTGGGTTACATTGATGTAATTGCTTGTGCTCCGTGTCCTCGTGTTTAGCTAAATGAAATATGACAAAGTCCAGATGTGCTTCAGTTATGCGAATAAAAAAAAAAGAGGCAGCAGCAATACACGGAGCAAGAACATGCATTATGCTCCAGAGAGTTCACTGCAAATTTATGACCCAGAAATGGGTTTTGTTTATGGCATAAATTAGTGAAAGAAGTGGAGGAAACTCCAGCCTGCATGCCACAGCCAGAGTCGGAGTATACACTGACACAAGAAATAATCCAAAGGGTTTTAAGTGATGTCTTTAATCCCTGATGTTAACCAATACAAAACAGGTCTGGAGCAGCTTTCAGTAAGCTCRTGCAGTTGGGAAAGATACAGCTTCTGTCAGGGTTCCAGAGTCTTAAACCGCAAACAGCAAACACGTGGCAAAAATATGTGGTCTAAAATACCAAGGCAGGAAAGACAGCAGATGTGATTACAGTATGAATGAAGTTTTTCAGAAAAAATTAAATCCCGTGATACAAGCTTGAATGAACTCACCGGCTGGTGGATTATATGTAAAGTGCTCATCAGTCTGTTCCTGCTAGTTTAATGTTTATTAGCAGCTGGAAATGCAGCTCAGAGTCTTAGAGGGAGCATCATTTTCACTGTGAACTCAGTAAATGTACATATCAAAATATTTCATGTTTGTAATATGAAATGAAACCACAGTTTTACATAAAGTACAATAAAAAGTTTTATTTTGTAGGTTGAAGCCAGCAGGCCAAGGCAGGTGGTCGCTCGTCCTGAGCCTGGTTCTGGAGGTTTCTTCCTGTTAAAAACGAGTTTCTATCCGAGATTCTGATGTTTCTGTAGATACCTACGTCTAAATAAAATAACTAATAAAAGTAGAAAACCGGGGGGTTGGGCTTAGGAGATGAACAATTGGCGGGCCGAACTTTGGTCACTCATGGGCCGAATATAGCCCGCGGGTCTTCAGCTGAATAGCCCTGTCCTATATGAGAATTATAATTTTTATTTGGTTGGAGTATGCTTGTTTTACTGGTGCATTGTTTCCATATGTATTTATCCATTTTTTAAAAACAAATTAACAGTTTATTATAATTTTTTGAGGAGCCTCAAAATACAGCTCATGGACCCCTGAGGGTCCTGGGACCCCAGTTTGAGAACCTCTGCTGTATACAGTGCCATTCATTACACATTGGAAATTTGGAAACACTGACATGATTGTCTCCTGAAATGA